AGCTAATAGAAATGGGCTAATCACTGCCCCGAATGGGACCCAACACATGTGCAGAATATTACATGACTAGTCATCATTCCCAAACCAAGAGTTAAAGTAATCCCTATCTTCTGCAATGCAAGTAATTAAAAATGGCTTTTTCGCTGTTTGAGGTTCATGAAACCTAGGGAGAATGTCAATAACTTTCGGAATCAGATGTGGGTCAGTGTCTAAGCATTAATTTGAAGATTTGAATTTTCTGATCCTCGAAGGAGCATTGAAAACTGTGTGGACGCTAGTAGTCTCAGAATCACAAATTGCAGCATGGTGTGGCATATAATACTGTGAAAGTTTGATTTTCATTAAAGCATTCTTTGACTATTTTTCCCTTAACTGCTGTTGAATAATTTCCTAATATTCTTGCAGTATTTCTGGAGTTTTCTGTAATTTTTGTTTTAAAAATTCAAACTGCTTTTTTTGTGATATCAAAATTATTTCCTAGCTCTTCTGTAGTAGATTTCCATGACATTTTACATTTGTATTGACTGTTTTTAAACTGTACATCTCTTTCAGAACGGTTAATTAGGTCATTATCAGGTTGATTAAATTCATTTTGGCCTTCATTTATTATTCCCATTGAATCAAACAACCAAAACAACGCTTAAATCAACTGACAAGAGGAATTCCCTACTATTACTGCTAAGTGCTTCGGATAATATCTTCCTTACCCCCATCTCCATCTTGAATAGCTTTCAAGGTAATGTAATATTCTACTCAAGTATTTGAAACATTTTGCTTTATATTTTTGACTTGTCGCAACCTCTTTTTCCATTTGATCAACTGCAATGGAAGTTTCAATTTCATCGCCGAGAGCTTTCATTTCGATATTTCATTCTATTAAGAGTTCATAATCATCTCTTTTGGGTGTAACATCATCTCCTTGGGAATGGCTGGGTCCAGAGTATTCATTAAAGCATTCTTTGACTATTTTTTCCCTTAACTGCTGTTGAATAATTTCCTTATATTCTTGCATATTTCTGGAGTTTTTCTGTAATTTTTGTTTTTAAAATTCAACTGCTTTTTTTGGTATCACATTTCCTAGCTCTTCTGTAGTAGATTTCCATGACATTTTACATTTGTATTGACTGTTTTTAAACTGTACATCTCTTTCAGAACGGTTAATTAGGTCATTATCAGGTTGATTAAATTCATTTTGGCCTTCATTTATTATTCCCATTGAATCAAACAGCCAAAACATGCTTAAATCAACTGACAATGAGGAATTCCCTACTATTACTGCTAAGTGCTTCGGATAATACCTTCCTTACCCCCATCTCCATCTTGAATAGCTTTCAAGGTAATGTAATATTCTACTCAAGTATTTGAAACATTTTGCTTTATATTTTTGACTTGTCGCAACCTCTTTTTCCATTTGATCAACTGCAATGGAAGTTTCAATTTCATCGCCGAGAGCTTTCATTTCGATATTTCATTCTATTAAGAGTTCGTAATCATCTCTTTTGGGTGTAACATCATCTCCTTGGGAATGGCTGGGTCCAGAGCTTAGCGGAGCACACTGTTGGATTCGTCGCGTGGGTGGCAAGCCATTTTGGTCATTGTCGTGTTCGTGCGACTTTAATTAGTCCAGATATTAATTAAAAACTAATTTTTCCCCTACGTTTTCCTACATTTTGCACTTTCTTTTACGGGTTTTCCCTATTTTAGGGATTTGGCTGCGTGCCAAATTCTTTTTTCTCGAATATCTATAGAACAGCGCCGAGTTGAAATTCGAAACGCATATCCCCGGATTGCAAAAAATTCAACGAATCCATCGTACCGGTCTCATCTTCGTACGTCTATAATCGACGGAGTTATTAATTAAAAACTGCGAAAACGTTATTTAATTTTTCAGAGTGGCAACAGTCTTGGAATTAGGTGAGATAAAAATACTTTTTTGAAAGCGACGGGTTGGGGGGGGGAACAGGTGGCATCCGCTCGAGCGATGCGTTGGCAAAAAGGTAAAAGTTCACGGATTTACACCTGGCGAAATCATTTAAAAATTAATAACTTTTCTTCTAATTAACTTACCGAATTCAAACAAGTACGGAAATTTAGATTTTTGCGATATATTTATTGTTTTGCTTCCTATTTTCTTTAAACATCTATTCATTCGTGTTATATATTTCTGTTACTGTTAAAAATTGCTTTCACATTTTTTTTCAGTATTTAAAATTTACTTTTTTTTAAAAGATTAAAGATTTTCTATGCAGATATTTAAACAAGTTGAAATTACTATTTAAAATACTAATTTAAATTTTCACTAAAAATTTCTTTTGTTCAGGGTTTTAATGAATATTGTCCTTGATATGTATATGGAAACTTTTCTATTTAAATATTATGATATTAATTGCATAATATAGAGTGATACAATTTGTGTGTGATATATTGAAGTTTATAAAAAAATATAGGAATTTTAATAAAATCTACTCTTTGATAATAATGCGAAATTTTCGCGATTACACGTTATACAACGCCCCACTCGCGGGAGCGTAATTCACTTAACATTGGTAGTTCGTCAAACTTTCGAATCCCGGCGAATGGGCTGGCTGCATGGGTGTTTTCGTTATTTTCTGCATGTGTAACGTGTATGCAGTATCTTGTACATGAATATGTGTATAAAGCGGACACAGCCTGCGCAAAACCGCTAAACACTGGTAGTTCGATTCAAACTTCCAATCCTGGCAAGCGGGGTGGCTGCATGGGTGTTTTCGTGATTTTCCGGTTGTGTGTAGTGTATGCAGTATCTTGAGGATGCATACGTGAATAAAGCAGGCGCGGCCGCTGAACACTGGTAATTCGGTCCTACTTTCGAATCCCGGCGAACGGGCTGGGTCCATGGATATTTGCGTGATTTTTCGCATGTGTACCATGTATACAGTATCTTTTTAATGCATAAGTGAATAAAGCGGACGAATCCCGCGCAAAACCATTGAACGATGGTAGTTCGGTCTAACTTACGAATCCCGGCGCGCGGGTAGGCTGCATGGGTGTTTTCATGATTTTACACATGTGTATTGTGTACGGAGTATCTTCTGGATGAATATGTGAATAAAGTGGGTGCAGCCCAGTCAAAATCATCGAACACTGGTAGTTCGTTCCGACTTCCAAATACTGACGAGCGGGCTGGCTGCATGGGTGTTTTCATGATTTTACGCATGTGTAACATGTATGCAGTAGCTTCTGGGTGCGCACGGGAATAAAGCAGAGAAACCCGCGCAAAACCGCTGAACACTGGTAGTTCAGTCCAACTATGGCATAACGGTGAAATTTAACATGGGAACTCTTATACGCACGAAAAATGAAAAGCGGGCTTGCCCACTAGTCCTGCTCTTTAAGCTCCTCTCCTGACTTTAATTTAGCGTCAATTTGTTTAATTAACTGGGTTGTTAATTTTCGAATTGTGCATTTAGCTTTTGCAAGTTCTGATGCCGTTATTTTTTAATACACCCAAGGATCAACAATGAATACAAATTGAGAACCTTTTATTTGCTCATGGGCATGATTTAGTATAACAAAAAGTTATAATCCAATAGTTCTGGCTATCCCATCACAAATGCACTATGAAAAGAAATCCAGTAAAGTAAGCTATCACCAAAGTCAATGACGCTCTTTTGGTGGTTCAGTTTTAAAACAATACACAATAAAAGTCTCACTTTAAAAACACAACAACAATTTATTTACAAGTTACTGAAATAGAGCATAAATGCTCTCTTGCCGGTAATCTCTTGCCCGCAGCTCCCTTACAAACATTCTATATATCTAGTTACAGTTTAAATTCTAATCCTGACTGGAAGAAATAGGGAAACACATATAGTGCCATATATATGTGTTTTGCAACAGGGGGAGTTTTTTTAGGAAAATCCAGTCAAACCAAGTCAGGTAATTTTACTGTTAACTTTAATTATGGTAAAATTGAATGCTTTTACTTTTTGTTTCATAGGCATCTTAGACAGAAAATTAAGAAAATTGAATGCATTTGTGTTTTGTTTTTTGGTATTTTGGGCAAAAAAGTGAATGAAAATTTTTTAAAATGCCTAAATTTTTTTTTTTTTTTTAAATTTTGAATGGCACATTACAAACAACTGTGGTCAGAACAAACAAATATGAAAGAGAAACAACAAAACTGAAATCACTACAGTATAATCTATGAATCTATATGTACTTAAAAAATTATGTGACCAGTTGCATTAATGTCAAAAACAGACTTGGCTCTTTTTCTTTTCTTTTGCCATTTTTCACCTTGGGCTAATCATTTAGTATGACATTCATTTTGATAGCCCAATTGTTAGCTTCCGTAAAGAAAATTGTAATCTCGATAGGCAATAGATGAGTATTTGAGTTTTGATCTTTCACTCTGTACTAATAGACCAGTGCATGTATTTTATTATAAATTCAAAGATCAGATTTTCTGCTACTGCCTGTGATATTATGTTGCAGTTTAGAATCTTAATTTAAAAAGTTGTTTTGGATGACATGTTCAAAGCTAAAACAGTAGTACCTCTTCTAGTCATTAGATTTTCTTGATTTTATAAAATAATTATCAACTATTAAGACAACAGCATCTGAGTCTTCTGTCCTTAAAGCATATTTTCAATGGCTTCAGTTAAGTTTTAACATATCTGCTTAAATTTGCATAGTAAATTCATTATTTTGTGATGGGTGTTATTTAGAAAGTTTTTAGTCTAGGATGTATATTGTTAAATAGAGATTCATTTTGCGTAAAAAAAGCTGTGTATAAATCCTTTTCAGTAAATATAACTTTTGTAATTTAAATAAATTAATAAAAAATTAATAAAAACAAGTCAATTTAAAATTTGTAATGCAACTTAAATTTTCAGTATCTTTAGATATTAAGTTTAAACTACATGTGCTTTTAAAAGTAACTAATGAAACTCAGTCTTCTCAGTAATTAATTTTTCTGTCTATATATAATGTTTCCATTATTCTATACTTTGTTTCAG